CTGCTGTCCAGTTGGCCTCTGACTTGTGACAACTCCATGCACAATAGAACAAAACATTGCCCAGTCCTGCACCATCCCAATGGTGAGTTGGGGAATGGACTGTTGTGATCCATAGAGTTTTTATTGACTGATTTAGCTCCACTGAAACCTGTTCAGCATCATAGCAACACGCAAGCCTCCACTGACAAATGGCTGGTGGCTGCACGTGAGATGCATTGGCTGGGAATCGAATCTGTGTTGCCCGCATGAAAGGCAAGAATTCTACCACTAAACCACCACTGCCCCAAAACAAGGAAGGCTTTCTGGAGGAGGCATTCTGGGAGCTGAGAGCTGAAGGAGGAAAGAGAGAAGGTTCAAAGGACAGAGCAAAGTCCTTTTGTCCCATGGAAAGTGTGAGAGAGAAACTCAAGAAGTTTCCAGATGGCGGGCAGGAAGTCCTCAATGAGGAGTTTAAAGCTAGAAGGGGGGGCTGTGTGCAGCACCTGAAAGGTGTGTGTGTGTGTGTGTGTGTGTGTCCTGGGACTCTAATGGTGAAAATGACTTGGTCAAACATCTGGAGAGGAGAGGTCAGGCTAAAAGAGCCAGAGCTAACAATAGCGGGATTGGGAGAGTGCTGGGGAAATTCAGCAGGCGCCTTCCACCCAGAAGAGAGGAGCTGGACAAAGGGTAATGAAAGAGGCCTGCTGGATTTGTAATCAGACCCGTGGTGTCAAGTTTCAGCTCCAGCGAGACCCAAACGCCTCGTATTTCTATTTTATCATTTCCACACTTACTTCCAGCAAGCGGAGCTTACCATCTGCACAATGTCAGGCCAGAGAAATAAAAACCAAGAGGAAATTGCACTACAGTGCCGCATAATCGGTCCGATATGCCTGGGATATTAGTGGAGACATGTGTGTCTTCACTCATATACATATTAACAGCCAGATTGTTTCTAAGCAGGAAGTTTCCCATTTGGTCTGGCTGAGAGGCAGCTCCAAAATGAGCCATGAACTGGCCGTTCTCCCTCTTCACCGCCTCCCCGAGCTTCTCTGCTCTGCTCCTAAATCACATTGCTCCCAGGCCGCTGCACGATTCTGATTCTCGTGTGTTGACAGGTTACACAGCTCTAGACCAGACACTAGCAGGAGCCCAGGTTTGAGCAAGAACCAAACAGGACCGCAGGGAGGCATCATGAGACGGATGTTAAGTGACCGGGGCAGGAGGTGACTGCCCGCCCTTCCCATTCTCTCCCTTCTTGGCCCTGCTGACGTGTCTTCTGCTTCCCTTGGGGGAAGCAGTGCATCTCGTGTAAGTCACGTAAACACTTCAAGTCCTACTTTCTTCACATGAAAAACAGACTCAGTAATGCCTACCTTGCAGGGCTGTAGGGAAGATTATTGTGTTTCCAAGGAAATGCTCCTAACACAGTGCCTAGCACACAATATCTACTCAAGAAATACTTTTAATAATAATAATATATAATAGTCAACACTTCTATTGGGCTTACTACATGCCAGGAATGGTTTTAAGCACTTTATATATATATTAACTCTGCCCCCCATCTGTCCATTTGTCATACTGTGGTGGCTTGCATGTTGCTATGATTCTGGAAGCTATGCCACCGATATTTCAAATACCAGCAGGGTCATCCATGGTGGACAGGTTTCAGCAGAGTTTCCATACTTAGATAGACTAGGAAGAGAGGCCTGGCGATCTATTTCCTGAAATTAGCCAATGGAAACCTTATGGATCACAACAGAATGTTGCCTAATAAAAGAGCTGAAAGATGAGCCCTAAGTGGAAGGCACTCAAGATGCACAGTGGCTGCAACAATGGACTCGAGCATGCTGGCGATCACAGGGATGGTGCAGGATTGCGCCATGTTTCATTCTGGTGTGCATGGGGTCACCATGAGTCAGAGCCAACTCATCGGCAACTCACAACAACCGCGTTTATTAACTAAGTCAATCCTCACAACCCTCTAAGGTGGGTAATCGTCCCCATTTCACAAAGGAGGAAGCTGAGGCACAGAGAGTTTCCATAACTTGCCCGTAGTAACAGAGATGGTAAGTGGTAGAGCTGAAATTCAAACTCAGGCAGTGTGGCTCCAGAGCTAGGTGTGAATAAAGAAATGAATGAATGAATTTAACAATTGATGAGTTGGTGTGTGGATGGGCAAAGTACATGGATCCCCACAAACTTCAGCAAGGGGCAGGTTATCTAAGCAGCACATTGACAACTTGGAAGCTGGAAGTTAATCACAGCCCACACGATGCCCAGGGATGACAGTCAGTCATTTACTGTGCCTATGCTCCATGCCTCTCCTGCTCTGAGCTAGAGTTGAAGACTGGCTTCCCTACTGAACATGGCAATAATGTCATCGCTTGAGAGGTTAGAACCAGACAGGACACAGACATCACCTAACCCCTCATTTTATGTTTGAGGGAACTGAGGCAAGAGAGGGGAAATGACCAGCACAGGGTCACACAGTGCCACTGGGACACCTCCCACATCTTTGCCCAGGACCCTGTCACTTCACCACACTCACAACCTCTCCTTCACAGCAGGAAAGCTTACCAAGAGTCAGGGGAGGAGTTCGGATGGAAAACAGACCTGAAGAGCTGAATAACGCGTTGCATGACAAATTGCTTTGAAAGGAGAACGCCTTCCTTGGGTAAAGGGGGGTTTCTATTTATATGAGTCTGATGAAGTTATCAGACCTGGCCTCCCCTCCACCCATGCTCAAAGGCACATGGAGATACCTGGAGGGGAGAGGACAGTTGTACAAAATGCACCCTATGCTGGGACCAAACAGGCCATGTGCTGTTCCCCAAACGCGCCTAGACATTGTACATCCCACCAAGGGACGTTTGAGCATGCTGTTTCAGTGCTGAACCCTCCCACACCCACCCCATGCCCCATCAATGCCCGGTGAATGCCTGCCCAGGCTTCAAGAGCAACTGAAAACCTGCTTCCACTGTGAAGGTCCCAATCACCATGTGGTTTCTGATTCATAGTGACCCAATATGACAGAAGAGATCTGCCCCATAGTGTTCCCCAGGCTGTAATCTTTATAGGAGCAGACCACCAGGTCTTTTCTCCCATGGAGCCACTGTATGAGTTTAAACCACTGACCTTTAGGTTAGCAGCCAAGTGCTTAACCATTGCACCACCAGGGCTCCTTCCAATGACCCTAGCCAGAATCAATTTCTGAGCTCCCAAGGGTATGTTAGGCCAGTGGGTTAAAGTTCTGGCTCTGGCTCTGGCTAGGCCTGGGTGTGAATCTCCATCCTGTGCTTACCAAGGGGTGACATCTGGCAAGTACCTTAATAGCTCCCTGTCTCCATTTTCCCACACTCATCAAGTGGGGATGATAATAATCCCAGCCTATGGGATTACTATCCTGTTAAATGACATTAACATATGTAAAGGAAGAATTTAGCATGGGACCTGGCACTTAATAAATGGGAGATGCTATTGCCTCCCTGGGAGGTCTTATTGCTGGTGATGGCTTTGATTTACGGTTGTTTGGGTTTGAACCTTATCTTCCCTCCTGGGGAGATCCCTATCTTGTTGGCAGGAACTGTGTCAGGTTCATCTTCCTACTCCCAGTGCACCCAGACAGAGCCCTGCTGTTGGCACTTAAGGAGTGTGTGTTAAAGTGAACCGGACAGAAAAGAGACAAGTTGATTATAGCCAAGAGCACAGGGCTGTAGCTTGTTTTAACAGCTTATTGTGACTTACTTTATAAATAGACTCAGAGTTCTGGGTGGAAAAGGAGGGTGGGTTGTTAGCTGCCATTGGGTGGGCCCCCACTCATGGCGACCTTATGCACAACGAAAAGAAGTGCTGCCCGGGTCTGCACCATCCCCATGATCAGCTGTGGATCAAACTGTCGGGATCCATAGGGTTTTGGGTTTTTTTTTTTTTAGTGAAAATATACACAGTCATACACCATTTCAAGCATTTCTACATTTACAACTCAGTGACATTGATTACATTCTTCAAGTTGTGCAAGCATTCTCACATCCTTCTCCAAATTCTTCCACCACCATTGACTTAAACTCACTGCCCCCCTAAGCTTCTCCTCTAACCTTTCGAGTTGCTGTTGTCAGTGATCCATAGGATTTTCATTGGCTGACATTTGGAAGTAGATTGTCAGGTCTTTCTTCCTAGTACATCTCCGCTGAAACTTGTTCAGCATTGTAGCAACATGCAAGCCTCTACTGACAGATGGGTGGTGGTTGTGCCTGAGGTGCATTGGCTGGGAATGGAACCCAGGTTCTCCTCATGGAAGGTGAGAATTTTACTACTGAACCACCATTGTCCCCTCAGTTGTCATTCCTACTGTTCTTATAACTGATAAAAGCAATAATAATATCCTCCACCTACTGAGGAACTCATATAGTCCCTGTGAGGTTCTTTGTACTCTTTTCCTCATTTAATGCTTACAAAAACCCTATGAGATAGAGATTATTATCCCTATTTATAGACAGGAAAACTGACGCTCAGAGAAGTTAAGTCACCTACAAAAAGTCATAAAGCCAAGTGTATAGCTGAGCTGGAATCTGACCCCAAGCCTGTCTGACTCTCACGTCCACACCATATGCCAGGGGTCTACAAAACTACCTCCTGTGGTTTGGCCTGACACCTTTTTGTATAGCTAGCAAGGTAAGTATGGCTTTTACATTTTTAAATAGTCGAAAAAGTCAAAAGAAGATTAATATTTTGTGACACATAAAAATAATACAAAATTCAAATTCTAGTGCCCATAAATAAAGTTTTATGAGAACACAGCTACATCCAGTCATTTTCGTATTGTCTGGCTGCTTTGCCCCCCAACACCAGAGTTGAGTAGTTGTAGACTAAACGGCCCGCAAAGCCTAAAATATTCACTGTCTGGCTCCTTACAGAAACAGTTTGCTGACGCCTGCTTTATGCCAGGCTGCCTCTTACAGATAAACTTACTTCCTGAAAGGAAAGGAACCTTGGTGGCGCAATGGTTAAGCGCTTGGCTGCGAATGGAAGGGTTGGCGGTTGGAATTCACCCAGTGGCTCCGTGGGAAAAAAGACCTGGTGATCTGCTTCCGTGAAGATTACAGCCTAGGAAACCCTATGGGGCAGATCTACTCTGTCACATGGGGTCGCTATGAGTCGGAATCGACTGGAAGGCACCCAACAACAACAACTGCAAAGAAGACTTCCCTTTCCATAAAAGTCCTGCTGCAGAATGGGCACCCCACCCAAGGAGTGGTAAGTCTCAGTCTCAGGATTCTTACTTTCCCTGATGCATGCCCAGCTGGCCCTGGCTTTTCCCTGCTCTCACCAGCTCCAAGGACAGATACCAGACTCTGCTAGGCAGGGCGACAGGCTGCAGCAAGCCTGGAAGCAGAGGAAGAGGGATTAAGCCCAGAAGTCAGCTTGACTTCATCAACGCCTTTCTCCCCCTTGATTCATGGTTTCCTGCTGTGTCTTGTTCAGCTGTGAAGGTGCCCAGTCCCCAACCAGTGGCGGGCAGGTGGAAAAGATGAACACGCAGGGGCTGCATGCCCCATCATCCTATATCTGGCCTCCACTCTGGCCAGAGGGCAGAGGCCGGCTCAGCAGGTCCCTCTCTGGGGGGGCCTTAAACAATTCCCTCCCCTTCTTGAGACTTTAGTCTTCTCATTTGGTAAAATGTGAGGTTGGCTCAGCTGTTACAGTCCCAATCTGCCTCAAACAAAATCAAAACCAAACCAGTTGCGCTGAGTCGATTCTGACTCGTGGTGACCCCATGTGTTGCAGAGTAGAACTGCACGCCATACGGTTTTCATGGCTGTGATCTTTCAGAAGCAGATCACCAGGTCTTTCTTCCGAGGTGCTTCTGAGTGGGTTCAAACAGCCAGTCTTTTAATTAATAGCCAAGCACGTAACCGTTTGCACCACAGGGGCTGCCTCAATCTGCCCCCACATACCTGCGTAAAAGAACTTCTTCAGATGGCATAAACACTTCAGAAGATTCTACAGCACCCTGTGCCTCTCCACGGCCCCCCTGTGAGGTGAGTTCCAAAGAGCAGATTTTGTTCTTTGTGGCATTCCTTTATCTGGCCAGGAGTTTTGAGCACCTGCTGATGTCCAGCTCTGTAGAGATATGATATGAAAGTAAAAGTAATCAAGGAACTTTCTATTTGTTTCAGGATACAAGATGTACAGCTGAGAAGTTACAGGAGAACGATCCTAGCAAATTTAGATTTCTTGAACAGATACCGAGCAACTTTATGTGCTTGGCACGCTCTCAATGCTTCCACATCCATGCTTTCACCTGAGCTGCTAAACACACCTGTGGGCCCGGTGTCACATCCATTTTTACAGATACGGGAACTGAGACTCTGAGGGGTTTCCTGAGATCAAATACCTGTTAAGGGGTAGGGCCAGGTTTTCAAAGCAGGTCTTACTGGTTCCAAATCCCGTACACCTTTGAAAAACAAGTCTGCCCCTCCACCAGGGTAGAGTTGGAAGTTTGTGTGGGTGCGGGGCATGTTAAGGCAAACTTGCTTAAAAAATGAAATCTTACCTGGGCCCTTAACACAATAGCAGAAAGAGCACTAGATCAGCCATCAGAAATTCTTCTAGACCCAGCTCTGTCTTTAATGAGCCATATATCCCTGGGCAAAATTTTTCCCTCTCTGAGTCTCAGTTTCCTTGACTATAAAATTGTGGTGGAAAGGCTGGATGAAGTGGTCTCAAAGAACCACCCATCTTCAATGCTTCTCTATACCTGCTTCACAGATGCTGTGCTGTCCCTGAATCACAAAACCCAATCCTGGTACCTAAGTCAGAACCTTAAAAAGAGCAGCCCTAATAAAACTCAGATTGTCAAGCTATGTGGACTCAAACCACAAAACTATATATATTTTTTTAGAGATGTTATATAGATACTGTCTTCCCTTCCTAGTTCCATCCTGCTCATTTTTTGTGGAATTCTGTTTCTGAGAATAACTTGGGCTTCTGTTGCACTTGAGCTTTTGGAGCCTTCTGCAGCAGGAAACAAGAGACAGGGATGTTGAAAAGCTGTAGTGGGGTGTGGTAGCAGAAGGAGAGCTGAGGCACAAAGAATTGGAAGGACTTGGGCAAACTGTGGGCCCAGATAAAAAAGGGAAAAACCCCAAAACCTTTTGAAGAAACTGTAAGGAATTGTTAGGGAGCTAAAAAATTTAAAAGGAGGGACTGGAATAATGGGGCCCTGCATGATTTCAGCGAATTAAAAATGTGACTTGGGAAAAAAAAAAAATGACTTGACACCCTAGTAGCAATGAGCACACTTAGTACGCAGATCTTGGTTACTAAGACCATTTTCCAATAAAAGGAACCAGGGCTTGTTGGAGAAATGGCTGCTTCAAGGACTAGGACAGAAAATATGCAAGATGACTTTGGAGCATCTTGTGCCAGAAAGTGAGAAAGTGCTCAAACCCTTACCTCCACATACCCACTGCCCCCCAAAAAACTTATATGGATGAGAGTATGTCAGAGACACAGGAGCCAATGAAAAGAACTCCCAATGGCGAAAGCTGTAACAATTTTAGCAACAAAATAGATAAAGTAGGATTTTAGATCATAACCCAAAGTATAAAATAAATATCCATGAGTCCATACTGCTACAAATAAATCATTGAATAAATAAATAAATAGGGGGAAAGAGACAAAGTTCCAGTGCAGATGAATTCCAAATAATTTGTGTATATACTCTGCCCTCAATGAGGGGGAGCAAAAATCCTTAAGTATGGGCTGTGCATAGTGACTTCCTTCCAAAGAGCACAGTGTGGAAAGGGGGAAACAGGAGTAACTTTACAGTGAAGAAACCTGACAAACACTACCTCAGCCAGGTGACCAAGATCACTGTCAACGGTGGTAAGTCATCCATAGGTTGATAGTATGCACCCTGAACGTGATGTGATGAAAATGGTGCCAATTTTTAGATTGAGACTGAGAGAGCTTCCAATCAGTGCCCTCACCAAACAAAAGAAGTAGTCAGGCAAAGAAAGTGATTTGTCCAGGCTTGTTGGCAGGACCCGTTAAGACCTTTCTATGCCCTGGGCACTTGTTCTTTTGGAACATGTCCACATCATATCAAACATGTCCAAATGTACCCACGTTAAATACGGTTTGGTCATACAATCGCTAAAGCATATTCCTAATTTTGCTTTTGAAGTGGTTTGCCCATTAATAACATTAAATTTATGGTTGCCTCTGATTCCCGTTGTGTTTATTGGAATTGCTGCAAAATATGAAAACCTCAGCTAAAATTTACCATCATGTGAATTTTTAAACGCTAAGTTTAATAATTAACGAAGCTGACATAAGTTTTAATTAAACGTATATTAGTTTTGACCTCGCAGTTTTCTTTTGCTGTCTTCTTTTTTCAGGACTCCAAGGTTTTCCTAAACTCTGAACAGCTACTAGGTAGCAGGCGCTGCTGGATAGTTCAGCAGAGGTCGGAACACTCATTTCTACCTCCTAAGCCAACGCTTCCTCTGAAGACACCAGGCCTCACATGGGAACAGATTGTGCCCCACCATATTGGCACTGTCACTTCCACCCAGACAGATGTTGTGATGCATCGAGGTGATAGGAGATGAGGGAGTCTAGCCCCTCATCCTGAAATAATGTGCTATGGAAGGGGCTGCCCCTCCCCTCCCAGTACCTCCACCAACTCCATAAATCACCAAGCTCTGCGCAAAACCCCCTTCCAAGGTTTCCCAGAGAGAATCACTATTAAGTAAACTGTGGCATGGGGGACCAGGTGGAGAAGGAGGTGGAAGGAGGGGGAGTGAAGGGAGCTCCTTAAAGGCTATCGCTGTTATGAGGTGCCGTGGAGTCAATTCCGACTCATAGTGACCTCACGAGACAGAGTAGAAATGGCCCATAGGGTTTTCTCAGCTGTAATCTTTACGGAAGCAGATCGTCAGGTCTTTCTCCCGTGGAGCCACTGGGTGGGTTTGAACTGCCAGCCTTTCAGTTAGCAGCCAAATGCTTAACCGCTTGCACCACCATAGCTCCTTTCTTAAAGGCTAGCTAGGCAGAAGTAGAAAGAAATTGAGAATTTAAGTTAGGGTAGGGGCTGCAAGCTGATGCCCATCAGGCCTTTGTTTCAGTAACAGCACAACCCAACTGCTTTCCCAGAAACCTCATTTTCATGTGCGATTGTGGGTTGGAGGAAGGGACTGGAGTGACAGTTCAGTGCTGGGAATATACATGTAGATGGTGAGTGAAGGCTGGCAGCCAGATGGCCAGTAAGCAAAGCTTCGTAGTCATAGAGTCTCACCTTCTCTTTCCCTCTAGAGACCCAAGGGAGGGCTGAAAGGCAAGACAAAGAGTCAGATTGTGGCTGTTTTACAGGATGTGGCCACATATGGCTCACTGGTGACTGCCCCTAGCCTTACACCTCAGAGAGCACATAAGAACCTGGGCCACCCTGTCAGACGTGCGTTCACTGGCCTTGGTGTGTGCAAGTGTCCATGCATTATGCATTGATTGCCTGTGTTTATCTACTTAATTCCTGTACTTGCTGAGTTCTTAGCCTGCATCCCTCAGGCCCATCCAGCCCAGGCCCTGTGAGCTCCAGAAAGCACCGGCCTTAGCTTAGTCCATCCAGTCGAATATAACAGTAATAATAACCAGTTGCCGTCGAGATGACTCCAAATCATGGCGACCCCATGTGTGTCAGAGTAGAACTGTGCTCCGTAGGGTTTTCAGTGACTCATTTTTTCAAAGTAGATTGTCAGGCCTTTCTTTGGAAGTGCCTCTGGTTGGACTTGAACCTTCAACCTTTTGGTTAGCAGCTGAGCATGTTAACCATTTGCACTGCCTAAGGATGCCTTCTTTATAGTTCTGCCAGTGTTGGCCTGGCATACTGCAGACACTCCCTGAGTTTAGGAAAAATGTCTGCCGACCTTTCCTTTGACCTTCTGCTTCTTCTCCCTCACACTCCCCTGGACCTCCTCGTTCTTCCTGATCTATCAGTGTTCAGGGATGCCAGGATTAAAGGGGAGGATAGTGATCAGAGTGGAGTTCATGCCCTTTCCTGAAGGGATGAGTTCTGCCAGAATCAGTCTGGCCATAAGTGCTCACCCAGGATCACTACAAAACCAAAAAACAAACCCATTGCTATCAAGTCAATTGCAATTCATAGCCACCCTATAGGACAGAGTAGAACTGCCCCATATAGTTTCTAAGGAGCGGTTGGTGGATTCAAACTGCCAACCTTTTGGTTAGCAGCAGAGCTCTTAACCACTGTGCCAGCAGGGGTCTAGGATCACTAGAGTCTGACAGTCTCTTCATTTTTCAGCATGGTTAGCTTGCTAGCTACCTTAAGTTACCTTGGGCAGATTGCCTATTCTCTCCAAACTCAGTTTCCTCCACTGCAAAACAAGACTAATAAGAACACCTACCCCCACAGTATTGGGTAAAGATCAAACAGGACAATCTAAGCGTTTGGTAAACTCTAAGCCAACATAGAGATGTCATTATTCCTCATTCACAAATCACCTTTACCCCTAATTGGCTGTTGTATACAAAGCAGGAACTAGGTTTTGCCATTAAATTGTTTTACTGGAAGAGATAAAAGGCAACATAGATTTTAAAAAGTCAAAAAGATCATGTTAGCATAAGAACGCAGGTTTGGAGAGATAATCCTGAAATGAATGCAGCAGTAGCCTTGAAAAAGAAATGCCAAGTTCTCTAACCTTTGTACCACACTTCAAAGGACATTGGCCCCTGACTCATAGGTAACACAAATATTTTTTACTCCAATGTATTTCTTTGTTCAATACACTCCTCCCATCTTTCCTGGTCCCTCGGTCCACATGCGTCAATATTCCGGCTGCCTTTTAAGCCATAACCCTCAAACATCAAGTGATAAAAATATCCTGGGGCATTTGTTTCCAAAGCCAGTTTCTGGGTCCCACACTTCGAGTCTGTGTTGGGAACAAGCTCTCTAGGAGACTCACCTGTGGGCAGAGTTTCTCAAAAGTCCATGGACCTTTGAGAACCTCTGCTTCAGCTTAGTGAAGCCCAGAAGGGTACTGCTGTGTCATTTAACTGCTTGGCTTATTAGCAACACCTAACACCCAGAAAAGATGCTTGCTGATAAATGAGAAATACCAGGAAACCTGAACACTTACTTCTTTTTTGTTGTTGTTTGTTTCTTGTTGTAGTTTAAGTGAAGTTTACATTTCAAGTTAGTCTCCCATACAAAAATTTATACATACATTGTTGTGTGACCCTAATTGCTCTCTCCATACTGTGACAGCACACTCCTCCTTTCCACCCCTGATTCCCCATGTCCCTTCAACCAGCTCCTAACCCTCGCTGCCTTCCCATCTCACCTCTGGACAGAAGCTGCCCGTTTAGTCTCTTGTATCTACTTGAGCTAGGAGGCACACTCCTCACGAGTATCATTTTATCTTCCCTGTCTGAAGAGTTGGCCTCGGAAACTGTTTTGTGAACACTTACTTCTTAAAGGACCTAATTTTTTGTCCCCCAACTTCATTCCACAACCTCATCCAGTTGCATAATTCCCACCCCTGCTTAGGAAGGAAGTTCCAGTGACATCAGCTTTCCCATATGGAGCTTTTCTGACACCTCTAGACTAGATAAGGTGACCCTTCTTTGTGGCTCCACAGCTCCCAGACCATATCAGCACTTACCTTATGTTGTTGACTTTACTGCTTTACTGCCCATTAGAAGGCAGTTTCCCCCTTCCTAAAGGACAGGGACTGTGTCTCTTTCTCCTCCGTTTCTACCATTTAGACAAGCGGTCAGCACTAACTCAACAGTGGTTAATGGAATGAACCACAAAGGATATGGAATGGGATGGGATGGCAGTGTTATGGACTGAATTGTGTCCCTCAAAAAGATACGTTGAAGTCCTAACCCCTGTGCCTGTGAATGTGACCTTGTTTGGAAATAGGGTATTGGAAGATGTTATTGGTTAAGTTAACATGAAGTCATACTGGAGTAGGGTGGGTCCTAATCCTAAATGACCAAAAAAAAAAACACCAAACCTGTTGCTGTCGAGTTGATTCCAACTCATAGCAACCCTATAGGGCAGAGTGGAACCGTTCCATAGGGTTTCCAAGGAGCAGCTGGTGGATTCAAACTGCTGACATTTTGGTTAGCAGCTGAGCTCTTAACCACTGTGACACCAAATGACCAGACCAGTGTCCTTGTAAAAGAGAAGAGACACAGAGACAGAGACACACAGAGGAAGGAGAGCCA